AAAAAGTACTGAAAATATTTTTATGAAACTTGAAATATGGGTAGATGACAGTCTGGAAATTATGCACATCTTTTTCTTTTCTTCCTATGTTGAAAATTCTGGTTGCTATGGCAACAAATAGACTGAATTTCAAGATTTCTGATTTGAATTTTTACGCTTTTTCACTATAAGTTCTTTATTTCTTAAGGTGTTTACTTCAAACTTTAAATATAAGTTTCTGGTCATCAACTACATTTTATGTGACAAGGTTTACAACTCTAGCACAAAAATTATCAGAATTACCTCCCTTGAACTTAGAATTTTTATGAAAATAATGTTGTCTTTTTTAAATAACTTCTTCATTTCTTAATGTATCTACTTCCTGTGAAATTTGGATGAAATTGGCCAAGCGGTTTATGTCATTTAAAGTAAAAGTTTACGGCCGGACGCCGGACAAAAAGCGATCACAAAAGCTCACTATGTCACTTTGTGACAAGTAAGCTAAAAAGGTCCACATTACTAAGTTTTGGTTCAATGTAACTGAATAATAAAGGGGCAAAGTTGGGAGCTTATAAAGAAGTTTATAACAACCTGTATTGTCTGTAATAGGGGAAGATTGAGAAATTAAGTCACAAAATTATGACAAAACAGATAACACTTAAAAATGCATTTGATACATTTTCTATTTATTTCTGAAAGCCGTTTTGATAATAAAAACTATTGTAAATATTTCATAAACAATGCACAAAATAACTCAACTGACATGCAATTGCAAGTAACAAAAGTCAGTAAAATAACTAATAAGAAAAAAAGTGATTTTATCACTAATTTTCAAAGAAGTTTATGCATTTCTTCAGAGATACAGTTGAAAGGTACCGTAAAATTCCTATTAAACGCCCCCGGGGGCTAAACATTTTCCAAAAGGGGGGCTATTATTAAAATACATTTTTCCTAAATCAAAAAAATCACTGTAAATACATTTAGTGTTAGCAAGTGTTGGTAATAACATTAAAAAGTATAAAGCTTTTATAGTTCATATTATATATATTTGTGTTTACTATAAAATAAAATGGATTCTAAATGATTTGAATAATATTATGTATTTAATTATGAGTTCAGCACTGATGAATAGATTATTTTCATTATCAAAAGACCTGGGGGGGGCCTTTATTAGGGGAGGGGCCTTTATTAGGAATTTTTACAGTACACTGTCTTAAATATTGAAATATCATTAAATTTTCTTTTCTACTGTTGTTATAAGATTAGAATGTAAATGAGGCAAGGTCACAACACTTTATCATTCATGAAAACAAAAAACCACTGTAAAAAATATGAAAAGTCATATGTAGCTTTGCTTATTATTTCATGAGATTTCTAGGTTCATTTTTGTGTGGGGTAGGTCACATGAATTATTGTGTAATGCTTTTTAATGTGAATTCTGATTTTACAAGGAAAAAAGTCATTACCAATGGATTTATCAGTCATGTTAGTTAAGTAATACCATTGACAAGTACATTAGTATATTTAAAATTTGAACAAATTAGGTGAACAAGTAATCAAAATGGATGAGAATTTTGTCAATTTTGAAATGCCCCTTTATGTATATGTACCAGAATAACATTTAATAAATTTCAGCGTAACTACATTGTAATGCATAAAAGTTTTATGCAAACAGACTAAGCATACCGTACATCAAATACAATGTATATCACTAAACAGTAAAAAAAATAAAAAAAATTCCAAAATTGGGCTTATGGGACCTCAGAAGAGTAGTAAAAATTGATCAATATAAAAAATTACTTAACTGAATTACCCATACAGACAGCACCTTTGGTAAGTAAAAAAGTAAAATAAAATAATACAGGCAAAAATGCTAAACAACATTATCTGTCACAACATTTCTTAGAAACAATAAAAAATATTTGTGAAATAATTTATTTAATCTTACAAACTCCAACTCCACTCTCCCCACCTCCTGGCCTTTAATTCTTTCATCACTACACAGAGGATATTAAATGAGTGTAAGTTCAATACTAAATTTATTGAATTAGTTGAATTAAAATTATAATATGCCAGCCTCTGGCAAGTATAATATTACTTTATTAAACAAGTTCAATAAATTCAGTTACACGAATATAATATTCTATCACGAATGTAATATTCGATCATATACCCAAAATATTGACTAAAGTGAAAAAGAATCATTTTTCATTAATATGCATGAAGTGTAATGCTAACATTTTAGCGCATCATTACGCTATATTTGTATATTAGTAACGCAAACAACGTCTCGTCAAAATAATTATGCACAGCTGTGCTATACTATTTTTTACGAAGTTGCAAAAGCGGCACGGGTGTGTGATAAATTGGTATATTGGACATGCCTTGGTTTGATTATGGAATGCCCATTTTCATTTTAAATAATTTCAGTATCAAAGATAAAATGAGAAGTCAAAATTACAAAATGTTGTTAGGCTATATAATAATACAAAATGTGCAGACTTAGTAGCCTGGTTCTATACTGGTGGCAAAGGTACACCTTTATTGCCATTATAACATTAAAGCAGCACGCCTCCAGATTCATCCTTATGTTCTTGAAAATTTTAAAAATATATTTAAAAGTAAAATGTTCTGACGTGAACAAAGAAAGTAATTGACACATTGCATATTGGCACTTATATCCCACCTTAATTACCAAAATGAGGTCAAAATACCGGTATGCAAAAATAGCCTCAACTGCGTTAGTAACGCAGTAGAAATATGGTAATATATACTGCAAAAATCAGTCATGAATTGCATATAAGATATAACTTATCACTTAAACCTTTTATTTGTTTACTTTTCTTAAAATCTTAGTATATTTTCCGATGTTTCATTTTCTTGGAATATATTGGCTCATCTGGAGGCATGCAGCTTTAAAACTGGTAATATCATATAAAAATTTATACCTTGTTTGTCCATTTATGGAGCTATCATACATGCATATTTAATGATCAATCCAATATTTATAAGATAATAACATTTCAATTACTATCACTATATCAAACATAGGTATTATATTATTATAAATATATAAAGCAGACACGGTGAATAGCTACAACCAATTACACACAAAAAGGAACAAGACACCTTTATTACTGGTACTTTGTACCTGATACAGTAGAGCCCTTCTAAACAGGATCCCATCTAATCAATAACTTCCCTTTACTGAAAAATTGTCTGGTCAATTTTAATTTGTTTTCATTTTTCTATAATCCAGAAACCCTTTATTCAGAACACTTAAAAACTTTTATGACTTGAATGTCTATCAATAGCAATAATAAATTTTCAATCCTGTTTACTGTTAAGAATATTGGTCAGGATATCTGTATTGAAATTTATTATTTTTAGAAACATTTGTTCCACAAAATTTCATTATTAACATGTAATTTGCACATTTTACAATAAAGATCTATAATTATGTCACTAGGAAGACTGGGTATTAAATAAAACCTAAATCTGATCAATCAAACTAGTGTTAACAACAGAACCTGAAAATTGTATTCTTGAGCAAAGCATTTTGACAGGTCCATAATTATAACATTTTGCTCTGATAATTGAAATGCCTAGTTGATATTATTTTATATACATTGTAATTACAGACAAAAGTTTAACCATCCTGTTTAGAGCAGTTTTACTGTATCTTTTTTTTAAAGCAGCATGCCTCCATGCAAATTTTCATGAAAATTTTAAAAATGTATAATTTTGTAAATTTATCAAAGAAAATAATTAACACATTACAAAATTTAATAGCACTTACAATTCACGTAAATTACCAAAAATTTGGTCAAAATTAATAAACAAGAGCCATGTCAACATGGCCATCCCCCGCCGAATGTGTTAGCTCATTGGAAGAATGTATATGTAGTAGAGCAGAATAATTCCATTTTAAGAGGTCTTTTGGTAATGAAAACTGATGGCTATAGTGATTACAGATTTGAAACCTATGTGAATACTGATGGCTGAAAATAACAAAGGGCAATAACTGAAAAATAATGCAGGGTAGGTTATCATCCTTGTGTGCTGCATCCCTCCTCAGTAAAATCTATCCACCTATGAAGTTTCAAGTTGATACCTCAAATACTTTTTGAGAAAAAAATTGAATTGAAAAATTAAGTACGAAAAATAACAAAGGGCAATAACTCAAAAATTATAAAAGGTACAGTTATCATTCTTGTGCAGTGCACACCTCCTGAGTGAGATCTATGCACCTGTGAAGTTTCATTTTGATATCTCAAAGGCTTTTTGAGTTATGCTCTGGACAAAAATTTATTTTGAAAAATAACAAAGGGCAATAACTCAAAAATAATGCAGGGCAGAGTTATCATTCTTTAGCACTGCATTCCTCCTCAATGAGATCCATCCACCTATGAAGTTTCAAGATGATACCTCAAATACTTTTTCAGATAAGCTCTGGACAAAATACATTGTAGCATGAAAAAAACAACAAAGGGCAATAACTCAAAAATTGTATAGGGAAGAGTTATCATTCTTGCGCACAACATTTCTCCTCAATAAGATCTATCCTTCTATGACATTTCATGTTGATATCTCAAACACTTTTTGAGTTATGCTCCACTCAGGTGAAAAATTAGGTATGAAAAATAACAAAGGGCAATAACTCAAAAATTATGAAAGGAAGAGTTATCATTCTTGTGCACTGCACACCTCCTGAGTGAGATCTATGCACCTATGAAGTTTCATGTTAATATCTCATAGGCTTTTGGAGTTATGCTCTGGATAAAAATCAATTTTGAAAAATAACAAAGGGCAATAACTCAAAAATCATGCAAGGTAGAGTTATCATTCTTGTGCACTGCACTCCTCCTCAATGAGGTCTATCCACCTATGAAGTTTCAAGTTGATAACTCAAATACTTTTAGAGATATGCTCCGGACAAAAATTTCGGACGGAAGGACGGACGGACGGAAGGACGGACGGACTGACGGACGGACGGAGACTATTACTATATCCTCCGCCGAAAATTTTCGGCGGGGGAAAAAATAGGCCTTGCTGCAACAGCTGCATTAGTAATGCAGTATAAATATGGTGATAAATACTGCAAAATCAGTCCTTAATCGCATATAACAAGTAACTTATTACTTGAATCTTAAATCTTTTTACTTTTCATAAAATCTTAGTGAATTTTTCTGAAGTTTAATTTTCTTGAAATAATTTTGGCTCATCTGGAGGCATGCATCTTTAACAAATTCCCTATTTCTAAGACACAGTTTTAATTATACACATATCACTAATCATTTCTTCAATTCCATTCATCTAAAGCTATATCAACTACATGTATTATCTAGTATTGTCCGATTCTCCGTCATTATCAGAAAATTCCGCCATGACACGATCAGAAGTTTGTGAATACATCGTAGAGCCATTAAAAATCCTTTCAAATTCTCTTAATTTTGCAGCTTGATTTTCCAATTCTATACTTTGAAAAACTACCAACTGTTTAAGACTTTTCATCTCTTCGTATTTAAGTTTTTCTTCCTCCTCTTTATGTTTAGATGATCTAGCTTCAATAAAAACAAAAATGAATACAGCACACAGTATTGTAACTGTATCTCCAAGAAGTTCCACTCCAAGGTCTATGGCAAGCTGTTCTGATAGTGGTTTGACCTCCTTAACATTTTCTATACCCTGAAATCTGCGGCGTGACTTTGTAACAACAGTGTGGTACCCTAAAAATAAAAAAATATAGTAAATTATTGTTTCGGATGAAATTTTTTTTTTATATGCTAAATTTTCCTTTTGTGGTATCTTGTAAAAAATAAATTTTTGAAAATTGTTCGAAAACTTGAATTTCTGGTTTTAGTACTTCAAATACACCTAAAAATCCCTTTAACACATGCATTTATAACCCTGTACCCCAAACTATTAATTTCTCTTGCTCATTTTCTCTGCACGCCTCCGGGTATGTAGAATATAGAGTAAACCTTTAACAGAGAGTGGTGTCAAAGGTATCTGCCTCTCAACCCAGGGATTGTGGGTCCGAGTCTTACTGGGGTTACAACCATGACACCATGCAGTACTGGCTATTTCCAATTAGCGGATCTGAGAGTGTTTCAACCCTGCCTATAATAAAGTAAGGCTGACAAATTTTTTGGCACGTACAGCTAGGCAGCCTTGGACCAAAGTGTCCCCAGAACTGTTGCAGACCTCTTATAATAAATACCGGAATAAGACAAAAATTCAATATTCCCGAATCCTGGTTGTACTGTATCGTCATGCGGATGTTACATGAAAAAGATGTAGGCACATGCCATGCCATGATAATTTACAAAAAATTATTTATAATATTTTATTTTAGATTATTAAGCATATCACATTATTTAGTATATCACAGGAATACAATTGAACAAAAGAATACAGGATTCTACTACACATATCTACATAGCAATATAAATTTTGTGTAATTGTATTAATTATAATTTTAATCAGCTGTTAATTGGTTAATAGAGTAGTGATAGATAGAACATGACAGTGTACTTACAGCCAGCCGATTTAACCAGCCATGACTTGAATCGTTCATTGTTTTTGGCTCTACCTTTCACAAAATTTGCAACGTGCCTACTGGCTTGTTTTGCCCCAAGTGCGAGTAATTTTGCAAGAGGAAAAACCATTTTGATGTCAATGTGTCCTCTTGTTTACATTTTTCGAAGAGAACAAAATGAATCCAAATAATTTATTTCCTGTTGAGTATGATTGCCTCCCCTGCATTATAATTCTATTCTTAGGCCAAATGTAATATTTTGTTTGTTTTGTTGAACTTTGTGCTCTTATACAGCAGTATTTGATTTTTGTTGAAGATTGTTTGAACTGTATTAAATGTTTGAAAGTGGTATAGCACTGGTGCTTGACATGATAAATGATGATATATTATAACACATATTTCATTTACTGTACTTTAAAAGTTGTTGGTTGGCACTTATGTAAAATGTTTTTGATGATCAAGAGTAAAAAGAGGGAGATTTTAGAATTTGCAATAAACAAAGAAGAAAAATCTGACATATAAAGAGGATTATTTCTTAATTTTGTTTTTTAACGGTTATAAAGAAGTGTCAAAAAATGTAAAAATGATTGAGAGAGAGAAAAAGAAAACCTATTACCGTATTATTTCCATTCAGTGCCCCCCCACCTCTTATTTAAGTGCCCCCACCACATTTTGTATAAGGAAAAATATTACCTCATATCTGTATAATCCATAATGAAAGAGCAATCCAAGAAATCCAGATGCGTTTATTTACAATATAACAATTAATGACACTCCAGTAATTTAAAATCATTAAAAAAATAATCCTGTATTATGTATAACATCATATTAATGAATAATGGTTTTAATAATTGATCTTTAATAAACATTTTTAAAGCACATTTTTGCAGTTCTAATTCGACCACCTTTTGTAAAACAAACGCAAATGAATCCAAATGCCCCAGGGGGCATTAAATAGAAACAATATGGTAATTAGGTTTAATCTTGGACAGACCACTTTTTGGGTTAATAACTGTCTATCACTAATTAGCTGATTCTAGAATAAAAACAAATAGCTGAACTATTTATTAATAATATGATACATACTTATAATTATTGACAATTTCAAATGAGAAATATTGTCAAAATGAGATTATATTTCTTAAAGTGGTAGGAAAAAGATCAATTAAAAAGATAGAAAAGACTCCAACAAAAAATATACATTTGTATATAATGACAACACAAGATCAGAAAAATGAATTAACTGTTGTCTGTATAATCCTAATTCTGAATTCACATACCTTGCAGAAGATTGATGGGTCAAGCCAGAGCTGAGCAGGGTCTTTCATATAGTTTCAAATTTCTATTTGAAAGACCATGGCCAGACCAGTGAGATCATTCCCTGTTGCTGAAATAATGATAAGGATGTGACTTGACCATGACATTGTGAGTATTATATAAATCCAGTCGAATTATTTCATGTTATTACTGTGTAATGCTAACACATTTTAAAAAAAAGTCTAAATTACAAAATTCCTAGTAATATTGTTAGATTTTGATAATAACATCCATTCAGGCATTATTATGCATATTCATTTACTAAAGTCATACTAAAAAAGGTGAGTTTAATTTTTTTAATTAATTTTGATATTTTTGAAAAAATCTACCATATCACTTAGGCCAGCGCCTATGGTCCAGATTAGCTCTCTTGTTCACCCTCCTTTAATCAGATTTTATGTATTTAGAGCACTAAAATCTGCATGAAATGGACAGATAATAGTATATTAACATGGTCTACTAAACATTTTTGGCAATTATTTTCCTGGTCTACGAAGTGGTATTGATTGTCCATTACAGTACTAATAGAGTCCCCTCCTCCCAGAAAACTCGGGAGAAAATCGCTTGAAGAAAATCAATTGCTGAGCACATATTATAATGTCGAGATCAATAGTAAATTCTGTAGTGACTTCTCACTGATAACTCTATGCAATTGTCTATACTTCTGTTATTTATCCGCTCAAAATGTTGAATTGTCAACTTTTTCCTTTAACATTACAGTTGATTTATTGACATGACTTGTTAAATAAATAAAAATCACACTGTTGCAATGCTAGACAACGCTTCTGTTCAAGAATGGCTTAAAATCTGAATTCTGAGGCTATGGCATTTTTCTCATGTAAGTATTATTTAGAATCGTAGATTAATGTTGTCATGTACGATTGAACGAACCTGTTGTCTTTGTTTTTATTTTTTTCATGTTAAATAGAATTATGAATATTTAATTTAATTTAATTACATGCTATCTCTATGATATAAGCAAACGGAATTTCATGGTATGAATTCCAATATCACAGATGAAGAAATTTAAATATTTAATGAACCGAAAACAGAACAAAAATTTTATGAATTAATAAATGAAATTTCTCAGATTAGATTGAGTCATAATTGTCAACCATTAGAACTTTCAGCCAGGTCTTTAAATACCCTAGAGGGTAAATTCAAATAAAAAATGTATGAAAAGTAAAAGGAGAACAAAAAATAATTGACTTATTTGTATTTGTAAATGCTATTTTTTTTCTAATTATATATAATACGATAAGCACAAATTTTTTATATTTTATATGTATTTGTATAAGGAAAATAATAATTATTATGCTTTATGTGGCTGGGGATTTGCTAATATTTTATTTCTCCGCAGAAATGTGTTTATTTTTTTCACAAGTCCATCTTTTAGTGAAAATGGTATTTGATCGATAATAGTGTGTACAATTTGTTTTACTTCCAAAAACTTTGTTTCTGCTAAAAAAGTGAAGACAAACTTTGATTCTGCTAAAAAAGTGAAGACAAACTTTGTTTCTGCTATAAAAGTGAATATAAACTTTGTTTCTGCTATAAAAGTGAAGATATGGTCTTCATAAAAAATTTTGTCAAAAAAATACCCAGGTATTTTTGTTCCCAAAGGGAAAGTACCGATATTTGAGGAAAAAGTAAGGTCATCATTTGTCAGAGGAGACGGGTTCATGCACTAAACTTCCCTTTTAGAAAAATTTACCAAAAAACCTTTTTTTTTTCCCGGGGAAATACAGAGGTCAAGTTCAAGGGTTGCATTTACCCTGATAAAATTAGTGAAAGAATGGTTTCATTTTAAATATTATTTGATTAATTGGTTGATGTCAAGAAAAAAAATGCTTTTTTTTTAATCTTCAATTTGTATAAAATATTAATGGAACATACAATCAAGGCATTATAGGTTTTACAGATTGTTAATTGATAAACTCTCACAGTCAAGTCTTCATCAAATATCTTCAATATCTGTATAAAAGGTGCATTGATTGAACATTTTGTAACCATTTGCTATCTTAAATATTGACCAACTTTCAGTTCATAGGCTACATGTATATTAAAGTTTTTGCTTTAAAAACATTTTTTTCCAAGGTGTACAATGAACTTGCCCAGCTGTCACTTTTGGGATTGTCAATTTTAAATTTATGGGAATATCATGTCAGCCACCAGTTAGGAGCCAGTTATAGAGATGGCAAGGGGCCCTATCACTTTCTGTTCTGTTTGAAAAATACGAATGCCATTTAATATTGCTTTTTATATTGTTTTTTCTTTGTTATGTTTCTGTGAAAGACTTAAGTATATCAGTATATGTTATCCAGCATAAATTATATACTGAAATATAATGCACTTTAAATCAAACAATATTTTTCTGTTTAAATAATCTCTACTTTGAAGGAAATGACAAGTCTGTCTGTATTAGTTATACTTTAAACTTGCCATTCACTTTATAATGTACCAAAATATGTACCTATTGAAATAAAAAAGAAATAAAGAAGAAAAGAAAATGTGATTATTTAAGGAGCCCCAGTTATTTAGACATTATTTTAGATAACGACCTGTATCCCAGGGTTTTTAAAAGGTTAAATGAATGTAGATCTAATATGACAAATTGGTCTCATTCATACGAAACATTTTTTTTTTGTTCATTTTTTTTTTAGTTAGTTGTGTGCCAGAGTCACGCTGATTTTACATCATTGGGTCAAAATAAGACAAGAATTAAAGTTCTTGAAAGTTAGTTACCACATAAACTTATGTCACATCATTTTATGGAAAATTTCATATTAATTACGGACTGAATAGCAAACTAGGCAGTCCATGATTAATCATGCTAACTGATCTTGGTCTACACTGGCTGTGCTAAGTGAACTTGGTCTGCATGCTAATTGATATTGGTCTGCACTGGTCACATGCTTAGAATCAGTTGGCGCTAGATCTTGGTCTGCACTGGTCTTGCTAACAGATTTTAGTCTGCAATGGTCTTGCTAACTGATTAAATTTGTCTGCATGCTAACTGACCTTGTTCTGTACTGGTCTTGCTAACTGATTAAATTTGTCTGTGTTCTAAATGACCTTGGTCTGCACTGGTCTTGCTAACTGATTAAATTTGTCAGTGTTCTAAATGACTTTGGTCTGCACTGGTCTTGCTAACTGATTAAATTTGTCTGTGTTCTAAATGACCTTAGTCTGCACTGGTCTTGCTAACTGATTAAATTTGTCTGTGTTCTAAATGACCTTGGTCTGCACTGGTCTTGCTAACTGATTAAATTTGTCTGTGTTCTAAATGACCTTGGTCTGCACTGGTCTTGCTAACTGATTAAATTTGTCTGTGTTCTAAATGACCTTGGTCTGCACTGGTCTTGTTAACTGGTTAAATTTGTCTGTGTTCTAAATGACCTTGGTCTGCACTGGTCTTGCTAACTGATTAAATTTGTCTGTGTTCTAAATGACCTTGGTCTGCACTGGTCTTGCTAACTGATTAAATTTGTCTGTGTTCTAAATGACCTTGGTCTGCACTGGAAACATGTGTAGAATCAGTTGCCGCTAACAGGCTAAGGTTTTACAGTGGTCAGATTAAGAAAGTTATATTATGTTTAATTTGGCTATTAAGATACACAAATATTCTCCTTTCCAAACCTTTGTGATCAAGTAGTATAATAATTTTCTTTTTTCTGTAAGCAAAAATTTATTTATTGCTTCTCTTACCTGTACTTCAAATAAATTATGTAATCAGTATCTCAAAGGTTTTAAAGGATATGTTAAATAATCATTTTAGATCTATACCTGTGTCAATATTCAGCTCATTATTAGGTTTAAGGTGTTTCATTCAGCATTACCTGGTAGAGCATCAATCTTATAAAAAAATCTTATAAAAAATAGA